AAAAGCTGCCGGCGGGTCATCCCCCTCTTTCAAAGGGGGGGACACTCTATGTCCAAACTGTACGACGACCTATATCCTCCCTTCGCAGGCTGCCATTTCGAAAGTATTTGAAAGCCAAGTTAACAAATTCAGATCAACGACCCATTTCATTTTCGAATACCCAAAGGCCCCAGTAGCCTTCTCTTCGACTCTCCCGCTATGGCACTTTTTTTCAGCGAGCTGGTCATGGTCAACTCAGTCCAGCGCTGGCAAAAAGGTCCTAAACGATATTATAGTACCGTGATCGATAAATAAACAGTACTCTATCTGGCGCAGGAATGAGGCCGTCTTTCATGCGACCTGGCCAAAAGGCTTTCGACGCTGCAACACATCACGCCATTTGACTACTACTGTGCACCCACCCGCAGTTCTTATTGGCAGAGAGAACTTAAATATAGCCTTTTGGTTTCCTCTAATGACTGGCCTCACGTCTGTTCCCATCAACAGCCAACTACTATCTCAGTTATTAGACACCCCACTAGAAACTACACGGATTCAAAAATTAGAATCTTTCAATTTAAATTATTATATAAAATTCTTGCTACCAATAGAATGTTATTTATAAGGGGGATACAATCTTCCCAGCTCTGCAGATTTTGCTGTGAAGAGATAGAATCATTAGATCATTTGTTTTGGTTCTGTCCATTTGTAGCTTGTTTTTGGACACAGGTCCAGGAATGGCTAAAGGATTGCAATATTTACCTGGAACTAACCTTGCAGATAGCATTACTGGGTGATCTGAAAAGTCATAGTCAATCAATCAATAATATAATAATACTTTTAGCAAAAATGTTTATTTTTAATTCACAATCTGTAGACAATGAGAATAGAAAGGTTCAGAAATTTTGTAAAACATCACAGTATGGTTGAAATATATATGGCAAATAGAAATCCTATATGGATGGTGTTCAGAGATAGATGGGAGGTATTGAATAGAGTTGAAGGATGGGACTAATAACAAATAACAACAAATAATAACAAAGATAGCTAATAATGTAAGCATACTGTGTCCATAATAAGTATATAGGTTGTATGTTGGGAGCTTTTGGGAAAGAGCACAGTTAGAAAGATATGGCATTTAGAAGCAAACCGGATGGACATCATGAAAATGATCGGAGAGGTTGAGAGTAGAAGAAGTTCAGGAGCAAAAAAATAAATATATATATATATATATATAGATATAGAATGATTGTAAAATTAACTCTGTCCATAAGGTGTAGATAGTAAGTATAGACCGGAAGTAGAGGCCTGGGCGTTGTTGTTCACTAATTTACTCCAAGTAGGGAAAGGATGGTGGGGTTGAAAAGTAATAAAGGGGAATATATACAGTGGGGGAAAAAAGTATTTAGTCAGCCACCAATTGTGCAAGTTCTCCCACTTAAAAAAGATGAGAGAGGCCTGTAATTTTCATCATAGGTACACGTCAACTATGACAGACTAAATGAGAAAAAAGAATCCAGAAAATCACATTGTAGGATTTTTAATGAATTTATTTGCAAATTATGGTGGAAAATAAGTATTTGGTCACCTACAAACAAGCAAGATTTCTGGCTCTCACAGACCTGTAACTTCTTCTTTAAGAGGCTCCTCTGTCCTCCACTCGTTACCTGTATTAATGGCACCTGTTTGAACTTGTTATCAGTATAAAAGACACCTGTCCACAACCTCAAACAGTCACACTCCAAACTCCACTATGGCCAAGACCAAAGAGCTGTCAAAGGACACCAGAAACAAAATTGTAGACCTGCACCAGGCTGGGAAGACTGAATCTGCAATAGGTAAGCAGCTTGGTTTGAAGAAATCAACTGTGGGAGCAATTATTAGGAAATGGAAGACATACAAGGCCACTGATAATCTCCCTCGATCTGGGGCTCCACGCAAGATCTCACCCCGTGGGGTCAAAATGATCACAAGAACGGTGAGCAAAAATCCCAGAACCACACGGGGGGACCTAGTGAATGACCTGCAGAGAGCTGGGACCAAAGTAACAAAGCCTACCATCAGTAACACACTACGCCGCCAGGGACTCAAATCCTGCAGTGTTAGACGTATCCCCCTGCTTAAGCCAGTACATGTCCAGGCCCGTCTGAAGTTTGCTAGAGTGCATTTGGATGATCCAGAAGAGAATTGGGAGAATGTCATATGGTCAGATTAAACCAAAATATAACTTTTTGGTAAAAACTCAACTCGTCGTGTTTGGAGGACAAAGAATGCTGAGTTGCATCAAAAGAACACCATACCTACTGTGAAGCATGGGGGTGGAAACATCATGCTTTGTGGCTGTTTTTCTGCAAAGGGACCAGGACGACTGATCCGTGTAAAGAAAAGAATGAATGGGGCCATGTATCGTGAGATTTTGAGTGAAAACCTCCTTCCATCAGCAAGGGCATTGAAGATGAAACGTGGCTGGGTCTTTCAGCATGACAATGATCCCAAACACACCGCCCGGGCAACAAAGGAGTGGCTTCGTAAGAAGCATTTCAAGGTCCTGGAGTGGCCTAGCCAGTCTCCAGATCTCAACCCCATAGAAAATCTTTGGAGGGAGTTGAAAGTCTGTGTTGCCCAGCGACAGCCCCAAAACATCACTGCTCTAGAGGAGATCTGCATGGAGGAATGGGCCAAAATACCAGCAACAGTGTGTGAAAACCTTGTGAAGACTTACAGAAAACGTTTGACCTGTGTCATTGCCAACAAAGGGTATATAACAAAGTATTGAGAAACTTTTGTTATTGACCAAATACTTATTTTCCACCATAATTTGCAAATAAATTCATTAAAAATCCTACAATGTGATTTTCTGGATTCTTTTTTCTCATTTAGTCTGTCATAGTTGACGTGTACCTATGATGAAAATTACAGGCCTCTCTCATCTTTTTAAGTGGGAGTTCTTGCACAATTGGTGGCTGACTAAATACTTTTATTCCCCACTGTATATAAAAAAAAAAAAAAACATGGGGGATTGGAAGTGATGCAGACAATTACATTGATAGAAGATACAATCTATCTGCAATATTAAGCTGATCCATCCCCCCGAAAAAAAAGTTTTAAAAAAAGAAAAAAAAGAAAAAAGAAGAAAAATATAGTAAAAAAAAAAAAATTCAAACACAGATTCAACCACAAAGACCAGGGAGGTTTTCCAATGCCTCGCAAAGAAGGGCACCTATTGGTAGATGGGTAAAAATAGAGAAAGCAGACATTGAATATCCTTTTGAGCGTGGTGAAGTTATCAATGACACTTTGGATGGTGTATCAATACACCCAGTCACTACAAAGATACAGGTGTCCTTCCTAACTCAGTTGCTGGAGAGGAAGGAAACCGCTCAGGGATTTCACCATGAGGCCAATGGTGACTTAAAAACAGTTACAGAGTTTAATGGCTGTGATGGAGGATGGATCAACAACATTGTAGTTGCTCCACAATACTAACCTAATTGACAGATTGAAAAGAAGGAAGCCTGTACAGAATAAAAAATATTCCAAAACATACATCCTGTGTGCAACAAGGCACTAAAGTAATGCTGCAAAAAATTTGGCAAAGCAATTCACTTTTTGTCCTGAATACAAAGCGTTATTGGATTTCCCCCAAATATACAACAAATTACTGAGTACCACTCTTCATATTTTCAAGCATAGTGAAGCGTTATATTTGGGGGAAATCCAATACAACAAATTACTGAGTACCACTCTTCATATTTTCAAGCATAGTGGTGGCTGCATCATGTTATGTGTATGCTTGTAATCGTTAATGACTGGGGAGTTTTGCAGGATAAAAAAGAAAGGGAATGGAGCTAAGCACAGGCAAGATCCTAGACAAAAACCTGGTTCAGTCTGCTTTCCACCAGACACTGGGAGATTAATTCACCTTTCAGCAGGACAATAACCTACAACACAAAGCCAAATCTACACTGGAGTTTCTTACCAAGAAGACAGTGAATGTTCCTGAGTGGCCGAGTTACAGTTTTGACTTAAATCTGCTTGAAAACCTATGGCAAGGAACGGTGTTTCCTCTGACACATTGGTGCGGCTGGCTTCCGGGTTAAGTGGGAGAGTGTTAAGGAGCGCGGTTTGGTGGGTCACGTTTCGGAGGACACATTACTCGACCGTCGCCTCTCCCGAGCCCGTTGGGGAGTTGCAGCAATGAGACAAGATTGTAATTGGATCGCAATTGGATATCACGAAATTGGGGAGAAAAAGGGGGGTAATTTTTTTAAACAAATAAAATAAGAAATATGGCAAGACTTAAATGGTTGTCTAGCAATGATCAACAATCAATTTGACAGAGCTTGAATATTTTTTAAAATAATCATGTGCAAATATCGTACAATCGAGGTGTGCAAAGCTCTTAGAGGCTTACCTAGAAAGACTCACACCTGTAATTGCTGCCAAAGGTGATTATAACATGTATTGACTCAGGGGTGTGAATACTTATGCAAATTAGATATTTCTGCATGTTGTGTAGATGGGTGAGAAAAAATCTATTTAATCCATTTTGAATTCAGGCTGTAACACAACAAAATGTGGATTAAGTCAAGGGGTATGAATACATTCTGAAGGCACTGTATCTGCACATATGTGACGTAGTACGCAATTCTCGGGGAACACTTTTGGCTCGTGAGTGCTACTTTCAGAACTACTGGCAAAAAAGTATACAAAAGTACAGAAGAATCTCTTTAATGTTTAACTATTTTTTTTTCTCTGAAAAATTTATTATTTTATCAATTAAATAATGTTGCCTATTGCATTTACAACACAAGAGTACAACAACAAATCAAAATACCCCAAAAATAACTTGAAACATATGTTTTAAATGCAATATATTTTTATTACTATTCTAAAGAAATTAAATTACAAACAGAAAATGGAAGTCTTCAAAGGTGGCAGTCTCCATGTGATCTCATTTGGAGATGTAATATCTGCAGCTTTTATTCAATATCACTTGGTTTAAGAAGTAGTCCTCAGTCTTAATTGACGCAAACCTCAGTGAGCCCAGACTGTGTGTAGCAGGGCTTCTCGGTTGCCTCGTAGTTGGATGACTCAGCATTGTCAGATACAACTTTGGCTAGCTTGGTGTCGAATGGGTTCAATGCCACCTGGATGGCAGGCTCAGAGTCAGGCACAAGGAAGTTATCTGGGATGCTAGGCAGAGGCGGCTCACACTCTCTCAGGCTGACAGCACTCTTTCCAGGTCTCTTTTCCGACTCAGATTTGTCCTTAGTGGAGATGAACTCCTTTGACTTCTGCAACTCTTTTGCAGAATCGTCAGAAATGGGGGCACACTGTGGTGTGGATGATGCTTGTTTCAAACCAAACCGTGAAGAGATGCTCTCCCGAACTCTGGATGCCAGTGTCTGTGGTTCATCGGTGGCTGGTTCCCTTTTCTTCAACCTGGCAGTGGCAATAGCATCAGATCGCCTTCTAGCCTCCTTGGAGATTCTCACAGCATCATAGAGAACCACTATTACGATGAAGCCATAGAAAACGAGCCCCAAAATCAGGTTCACCTTCACAAGTGGCTCGGAGTAAGAAGGGTCAGTCAATATGTTGACTCTGGGTTTGATCTTCAGGGTGCTCTTCTGAGCTTTTGGAGCTGGAGCCTGAAGATTTTCTTTGAAGACGTTGTTGTCACCTTGCAATGCTTTTTGCTTGTAAGCCTGTAGATAAGGAATACGTTTCTCCACAATCATCTGTGGGACTTTAGCTTTACCTGGGAAAGTATCATCTTTCATCCTCTGAAGTTGTTCCAGCATCTGGTCCACTTGCACCATTTTGGTCCATTTTGCAACATTGGGGATGTCCTGAACAGGGTGGTCCTTCACTGGCATCAAAGGCCTGTGCTCTGGAACAGAAATCAGGGGCTCTACAAGCTCCGAGGGCTCTTTAGAATTTTTTGAGGAATATCCTTTTGTCAACTGGCCCACGTTACCTGGAGAAGAATTGTCTTTCACCCGTAAACTCTCAAGTTGTTCCAGCAATGACTTAAAATTGGTCTCTTTTGTAGCATCAGGGTTGTTCTGAACAGAGTGGTCCTTCACTGGCATCAACGGCTTGTGCTCTGGAACAGAAATCAGGGGCTCTACAAAGTCCGGGGGGTCTTTGACATTTTTTGAGGAATATCCTTTTGTCAACTGGCCCACATTACCTGGAGAAGAATAGTCTTTCACCCGTAAACTATCAACTTGTTCTTTTGTAGCATCAGGGTTGTTCAGAATAGGGTGGTCCTTCACTGGCATCAAAGTCTTGTGCTCTGAAGACACCAACACATTTGCAGCAACAGGCGAAAGGAGACAGAAAATAACAGCCAACAATAACATCTTCATGTTGCACAGCCCACCCTTCTGGGAGAGCTGTGCCATTTTGATTAAAGAAATCGTCTTTCAAAAGTAGGCAGTACAAATTACAAGTCAAACTACTAGTTGGCTAGCTGTGCTTTGTAAAAGTGAATTGGGTTTACTGTTCACTGTCAAACATACACAAGATATGGACCCAACATGATGTAATAGAAGAATCTGATTATAACATCACGTGTTCCAGAATGTTGTAACCTGCTCCTCATTGTATTCATTAATTCAGATAATTCATTAATTCATCTCTTTGGATACATTTGGCAATTAGTTTGACGTGCAGTCCCTGTCCCTAAACTGCTTTTCCTACGACTTTGGCAAATGCCCCCGTGACCTACAGCTCCTCATATACTACCAGGTCATGGTAGTATCTACACTGGTGCTGGTGCTTGCGATGACCCAGCTAATTATGAGCTTTCTGACCCAGGGAGTGAGACACTTTTTGGCCTTCCTCATGGCCCGCACTGCCCCCCTGGAAACCAAATGTTTAAAGACATGGTACTTTGGTGACTAAGAAAGTATTTTTTAAACCTCTCACTTTGGGCTGGATGCTTCAATGTCTAGCTCAGGGGTGTCAAACTCGTTTTAGCTCAGGGGCCACATGGAGGAAAATCTATTCCCAAGTGGGCCGGACCGGAAAGATCATGGTATATATAACTTAAAAACAACAACTTCAGATTGTTTTCTTTGTTTTAATATGATCAACATACAACATAAAGCTGGAGCCTGAGGACAGTGTGTCCAAAATAGTACAAGCACAACATCACTATTAATCATAAAACACGTCAAGTTTATTTGAAAATTCTAAAGAAAAAGAACACACAAACACACAATGCCTCAGTGATTAACAGAACTGTTTCACAGATCACAGAACTATATCAGGGTGTCATTTCTCAGGCAGAAATGTAGATAAAAATAATGAAATCCTGTTCCCAAAACAAGTGCAAGAACCACAGAGTCAAGAATAGGTTAAATATACAAATAAAATCAAATCAATTAAAAACAATAGCACATCAACATAAAAACATATAAACATAAAGCTGGAGCCTGAGGACAGTGTCCAAAAGCACAACATCACTATTAATCATAAAACACCTCAAGTTATTTGAAAGTTCTGAGGTCAAAGAACACACAAACACACAATGCCTCAGTGATTCACAGAAGTATATCACAGATCACAGAACTATATCAGGGTGTCATTTCTCAGGCAGAAATGTAGATAAAAATAATGAAATCCTGTTCCCCAAACAAGTGCAAGAACCACAGAGTCAAGAATAGGTTAAATATACAAATAAAATAAAAACAATTAAAAACAATAGCACATCAACATAAAAACATATACATAAATCTGAAAGCGTTGCTCAAACTCCCGTAACAGTCCCGTTATTTTATCTTTGAACCGCTTCATGTCTGCCACATGTTGGGTCGCACACACATTTTTCAGACAGGGGAAGTGAGCTGCATCACCACCGGCAAGTTGCGTCTCCCACAATGACAGCTTCAACTTGAAAGAACGTATGCTGTCATAATACCGCGTGACAACTTTGTTGCGCCCTTGCAGCTGTTTGTTCAAGTTATTCAGGTGCTCTGTAACATCCACCATAAATGCAAGGTCCGGCATCCATTCTGCGGAATGAAATTCTAACACTGGTTTGCCCTTTTCTTCCATGAACTGTTCAATTTCTTCTCGTAAATCAAAGAAATGCCTCAGCACAGCACCTCGGCTTAACCATCTTACCTCAGTGTGGTATGGCAGGCCATAGATGTGGTCTTTCTCTCTGAGAAGGCTGTCAAACTGACGGTGATTCAGGCTTCTGGATCGGATGAAATTAACAGTTTGGATGACCACCTTCATGACGTTATCCATCTTTAATGACTTGCAACACAAAGCCTCCTGGTGCAAAATACAGTGAAAAGTCAAAAAATCACGTCCTCCATTTGCAGATTGCACTTTCTCTCTGAACTTTGTCACAACGCCTGCTTTTTTCCCGATCATTGAGGGCGCACCATCTGTAGCCAGGCTGACAGCGCGGGACCAGTCCACTCCAACCCTGTCCAGCGCGCCGACGAGTGCGGTAAAAATATCAGCTGCTGTCGTTGTATCTGTCATCGGCACCAACTCCACGAACTCCTCGGTGACGGTCAATGTGTCATCAACTCCGCGGATGAAAAAATTGCCAGTTGTGCAACATCTGTAATGTCCGTGCTTTCATCAATTGCAACCGAAAACGCAATAAATGACTTCAACTGGCTGTCCAAATCCACTGAAAGATCGGAAATCCTGTCTGCAACTGTGTTTCTTGTCAGGCTGATATTTGCAAAAGCCTGCCGCTTTTCAGGGCACACAATCTCCGCTGCCTTCATCATGCATGTTTTTACAAATTCACCCTAACTAAATGGTTTTGAAGCCACTGCGATTTCATTAGCAATGAGGTAGCTAGCTTTCACTGCAGCGTCACTGATGTCTCGGCTGTGAGTAAACACAGACTGCTGTTTCTTCAGACCCGCCAACAGTTCATTCACCTTCTCTCATCTCTGCTGTCCTTGAAAGTTGTCATATTTGTCGGCATGAAGACTCACATAGTGGCGACAAAGGTTATATTCTTTCAGCACTGCAACATGCTCTGAACACACCAAACATACAGCTTTCCCATTCAATTCCGTGATTAAATAGGATGACCATTTTTCTTGGAACACTCTGCACTCTGTGTCCACTTTTCTCTTTTTTGACAGAGACATATTGGGGCAATGAGGGTGCCAAAGCACATAATGTTAAAAGTAGAAGCCGTAATAAATATCGCGGGCAAAACAAAGTAGCTCATTGGCTGCACGTGCTTGACCTACTTGCTCTGCCCTGGTATAAACAGTTTGCTTGCTTAACACAATTGCGATTGCACCATCCAGTGGACGCAATTGGAACAGCAGTTTATTTTATTGAAAAAAAAAAAAAAAAGATCTTTCAAAATCATCTCGCGGGCCGGATTAAACCCGTTTGCGGGCCTGATCCTGCCCGCGGGCCGTACGTTTGACACCCCTGGTTTAGACAGACAAACACACTATCCAGGATACACTTCCACACTCAATCCCCCAGGGGGCAGTAGCAATCTTGTCCAAGTGCTGAGCCTGGTTGATGTGACTCCGTGCAGCCAATGGCTATATCCGCTTTAGGTATAATGCCAGGAGCCACTAGTGGATTTGATAGCTCTAACACAGTTCCACCTCAGACACTGCCAAAACAACCGCTATGCGGATGTTGTCTAAAGCGGATCTGATTGAATAAAGCCCAACGTCTTTAGTTGGGCCTTTTGGTTTGTGTGTATGTATTTATGTTGGTCACCATTTTGACAGAGCTGCACCTGGACCAAGGTAAGGTTGATATCTCCCTGGACCAAGGTAAGGTTGATATCTCCCTGGACCAAGGTGAGTAAGGTTGATATCTCCCTGGACCAAGGTAAGGTTGATATCTCCCTGGACCAAGGTAAGGTTGATGTCTCCCTGGACCAAGGTAAGGTTGATATCTCCCTGGACCAAGGTAAGGTTGCTGTCTCCCTGGACCAAGGTAAGGTTGATATCTCCCCGGACCAAGGTAAGGTTGATATCTCCCTGGACCAAGGTAAGGTTGATGTCTCCCTGGACCAAGGTAAAGTTGATATCTCCCTGGACCAAGGTAAGGTTGATATCTCCCTGGACCAAGGTAAGGTTGCGGTCTCCCTGGACCAAGGTAAGGTTGATATCTCCCCGGACCAAGGTAAGGTTGATATCTCCCCGGACCAAGGTAAGGTTGATATCTCCCCGGACCAAGGTAAGGTTGATATCTCCCGGACCAAGGTAAGGTTGATATCTCCCTGGACCAAGGTAAGGTTGCTGTCTCCCTGGACCAAGGTAAGGTTGATATCTCCCCGGACACTTGTCCATCCAACACAGTCCTCAAACTCAGATTTCTCACATAAATGCACATGTTCACTCAGGTTATAGACCATGTAACTAGGCCTAGGACCCCTAGACAAAGCGAGTGCAGCAATATTCGTAGGGTAGGTCTGGGTTTCGTAACTATGAGGATGCTTTTCAGTAACATCTTATTTACGTACTGCATTAGCATCGAACAGCTCCCGCGATATGCAACTTTTTAGGGAAGTCAGGAACCAATATACACAATCAGTTAGGAAAGCGAAGGCTAGCTTTTTCAAACAGAAATGTGCATCCTGTAGCACTAACTCCAAAAGGATTTGGGACACTGTAAAGTCCATGGAAAATAAGAGCACCTCCTCCCAACTGCCCACTGCACTGAGGGTAGGAAACACTGTCACCACCGATAAATCTACAATAATCAAGAATTTCAACAAGCATTTTGCTACGGCTGGCCATGCTTTCCACCTGGCTAACACTACCCCGGCCACCAGCTCTGCACCCACCGCTGCAACTTGCCCATGCCCCTCCCGCTTCTCTTTCACACAAATTCAGACAGCTGATGTTCTGAAAGAGCTGAAAAATCTGGACCCCTACAAATCAGCTGGGCTAGACAATCTGGACCCTTTCTAAAATTAGCCGCCGAAATTGTCGCAACAATTATTACTAGCCTGTTCAACCTCTTTCGTAACGTCTGAGATCTCCAGAGATTGGAAAGCTGCCGCGGTCATCCCCCTCTTCAAAGGGGGTGACACTCTAGATCCAAACTGTTACAGACCTATATCCATCCTGTCCTGCCTTTCGAAAGTATTTGAAAGCCAAGTTAACAAACAGATCAACGACCATTTCGAATCCCACCGTACCTTCTCCGCTATGCAATCCGGTTTCCGAGCTGGTCATGGGTGCACCTCAGCCACGCTCAAGGTCCTAAACGATATTATAACCGTGATCGATAAAAGACAGTACTGCGCAGCCGTCTTCATCGACCTGGCCAAGGCTTTCGACTCTGTCAACCACCGCATTCTTATTGGCAGACTAAATAGCCTTGGTTTCTCTAATGACTGCCTCACTTGGTTCACCAACTACTTCTCAGATAGAGTTCAATGTGTCAAATCGGAGGGCCTGTTGTCTGGATCTCTGGCCATCTCTATGGGGGTGCCACAGGGTTCAATTCTCGGGCAGACTCTATTCTCTGTGTATATCAATGATGTCGCTCTTGCTGCTGGTGACGCTCGGATCCACCTCTATGCGGACAACACCATTTTGTATACATCTGGCCCTTCCATTGGACACTGTGATAACAAACCTCCAAAACGAGCTTCAATGCCATACAACACTCCTTCCGTAGCCTCCAACTGCTCTTAAACACTAGTAAAACTAAATGCATGCTCTTCAACCGAACTGCTTGCACCCGCCCACACGACTAGAATCACTACTCTCGGCGGGTCCGACCTAGAGTATGTGGACAACTACAAATACCTAGGTGTCTGGTTAGACTGTAAACTCTCCTTCCAGACTCACATTAAGCATCTCCAATCAAAAGTTAGATCTAGAACCGGCTTCCTATTTCGCAACAAAGCCTCCTTCACTCATGTTGCCAAACATGCCCTCGTAAAACTGACTATCCTACCGATCCTTGACTACGGCGATGTCATTTACAAAATAGCCTCCAACACTCTACTCAGCAAATTGGATGTAGTCTATCACGGTGCCATCCGTTTTGTCACCAAAGCCCCATATACTACCCACCATTGTGACCTGTACGCTCGTTGGCTGGCCCTCACTACATATTAGTCGCCAAACCCACTGGCTCCAGGTCATCTATAAATCACTGCTAGGCAAATCCCTGTCTTATCTTAGCTCACTGGCCACCATAGCAACACCCACCCGTAGTCTGCGCTCCAGCAGGTATATCTCACTGGTCATCCCCAAAGCCAACACCTCCTTTGGCCGCCATTCCTTCCAGTTCTCTGCTGCCAATGACTGGAACGAACTGCAAAAATCTCTGAAGCTGGAGACTCTTATCTCCCTCACTAACTTTAAGCGTCAGTTGTCAGAGCAGCTTACCGATCACTGCACCTGTACACAGCCTTTCTGAAATTAGCCCATCCAACTACCTCATCCCCATATTGTTATTTATTTTGCTCATTTGCACCCCAGTATCTCTATTTGCACATAATCTTTTGCACATCTATCATTCCAATGTTAATATGAAATTGTAACTATTTTGCACTATGGCCTATTTATTGCCTTACCTCCATAACTTGCTACATTCGCACACACCGTATATATATTTTCTGTTGTATTTTTGACTTTATGTTTTGTTTTACCCCATATGTAACTCTGTGTTGTTGTTTTTATCGCACTGCTTTGCTTTATCTTGGCCAGGTCGCAGTTGTAAATGAGAACTTGTTCTCAACTGGCTTACCTGGTTAAATAAAGGTGAAATAAAAAATAAAAATAAAAGAAACAATATCTGTAGGGTAGTTCTGGGTTTCGTAACTATGAGGACGCTTTTCAGAAACATCTTATTTCCAACAGGGCTCTACTGCTCTGTGCCTCTACATCCTCTCAGCTGTTAACTGCGTGTACACATGCATCCTGTTGACATCCTGGCACCTCTGGGTGACAGAAGGGACACTCACACACACACACTCACACACACACACACACACACACACACTCACTCACCGCAGGTGTTGGGCAAACCCCGACCGAGCTAGCGTCAACGAGAAAATCCCCGGCTGCCGCCGTTACTACGGCAACAGCAAGACTCAGCGGCAGCGAGGCCACAGTGACATCTCTGCACTCAAACGCGCTCACACACACACACACAATCATGTTTTACCAACGCGCGCACTCACACACAATCATGTTTTACCAACTCGCCCACACACCACCCATCACACATATATACTGTAGAAAGAGGGGGAAGAGGGAAAAGAAAGAGTGACAGACCACTAGAGAGAGAGAGAGTTAACTGCTTGTGTCGGTTATGTGTGAAAGCCCTGGCATGAATAGGAGAGGTCAGGGGTCAACGAGAGTGTAATTGGTAACAATGTGGGGTAGTGAGGAGAACACTAGTCCACATTTATTCACTGATAGTGTCAGATAAAGGGACGTAAACATGACTGTATTCTCTCTCTGTACTGATCCACTTCAGGCTGCCCCACCACCACCACAGGAATAAAAACCTCTAAAGGATCTGACACACCGACACAGCTGATTCTAACCCCCGACTGGCCAATAAATACTGTGAGTTTCCCTGCATTTCATATACCGCTGAATTATTACCATTTCAACTGACCTGTGTTCCAAATGGCACCCTATTCCCTATATAGTGCACTACTTTTGATCCGAGCCCTATGGGCCCTGGTCAAAGTAGTGCACTACACACTGACTATACTAAACATTAGGAACAGCTTCCTGACGTTGATTTGAATTCCCCCTTTTTGCCCTCAGAACAGCCTCAATTCGTCGGGGCATGGACTCTACCAGGTGTCGATGCTGGCCCATGTTGACGCCAATGTTTCCCCCAGTTTTCAAGTTGGCTGGATGTCCTTTGGGTGGTTGACCATTCTTGATACACACCGGGAAACTGTTGAGCGTGAAAAACCCGGCAGCCTTGCAGTTCTTGACACAAACCGGTGCGCCTGGCACCTACTACCATACCCGATTCAAAAGGCACTTAAATATTTTGTCTTGCCCATTCACCCTCTGAATGGCACACATACACAATCCATGTCTAAAGGCTTATAAATCCTTCTTTAACCTGCCTCCTCCCCTTCATCTATACTGATTGAAGTGGATTTAACAAGTGACATCAATAAGGCATCATAGCTTTGACCTGGATTCACTTGGTCAGTCTGTCATGGAAAAAGCAGGTGTCCTTAATGTTTTGTCCACTCAGTGTATAGTGAATAGGGCGCCATTTGTCTTATAATTCCTCATTAAAAAGAGTGTCGTTAGGAGCCAGACGAGGTAGTTCCTTATGTAAATCCAGAGGCATGGAGGAATAAAAAGAAAATATTAGAAAAGCGTGGAGCGTAAAATATTACTGGTGTGCTGCAATTTCTAATTCAAATACTTTTTTTGCTCAGAACATACCCACAATGCATCTCTTCCTTCCTAGAAGTGTTGGTAAAGCAATAAAAGGATTCTATGTTCTAGAAGCAAACTGTACAGTTGACCTCCTACATGTTTGCCATGACAACACAACCACAGCTGACCTCTCCCTGCACGTTGGAGTGTTGGGGGCAATACAAGGTTATATGAGGGAAACAAACATCCAGCAGTCTAATTTGTTGTGAAAGGATGATTGATTTTCAGAGCCAATTAAATATTTCCAAGAGAGGGGGCAGAAAGAGAGGGAGAAAGAGAGAGGGAGAAAGAGAGAGAGCGCGTGGAGAGAGGGGGAGAGATCCCTGGATGGAGGTGTCTGTACGACAGTCGATAATTTCCACATAGCCACTTTACAACAAGAGTTAAATCAATACGCGAGTGAGTGGATCAAGTTGCCAAGGCAACCTGTCCTCTGATTCCACCACTGCAACCGTTTCCACGACGAGAAGACGTGGGAGAGTAGCTAGGAGCCGCGTCCCAGTAGTCTAACATGGATCCTCTCCTCCTCTCCCTGATGGATCCTCTCCCTGATGGATCCTCTCCTCCTCTCCCTGATGGATCCTCTCCCTGATGGATCCTCTCCTCCTCTCCCTGATGGATCCTCTCCTCCTCTACCTGATGGATCCTCTCCCTGATGGATCCTCTCCTCCTCTCCCTGATGGATCCTCTCCTCCTCTACCTGATGGATCCTCTCCCTGATGGAACCTCTCCTCCTCTACCTGATGGATCCTCTCCCTGATGGATCCTCTCCTCCTCTCCCTGATGGATCCTCTCCCTGATGGATCCTCTCCCTGATGGATCCTCTCCTGATGATCCTCTCCTCTCATCCCTGATGGATCACTAACTCACTGATGGATCCTCTCCTCTGCACGATGGATCCTGTCCTGATGGATCCATTTCCTTTCTCACCTGATGGATCACATCCCTGATGATTCCTTCCTTCCTCGTCGATTGGATGCCATCTGATGGAGTCTCTCTCTGATGGTATCTACATCCTCTCTCCTGATGGATCACTCACCGAATGGACCTCTCCCTGATGGATCCTCTCTTGAGGATCTCTGATGATCTTTTCGAGGATCCTCCCTGATGGATCTCTCCTCAACGTCTGATGATCTTCCACAATAGATCACTCTCTCCTCCCCATAGAGTGGATCCTACGGCGTGAGTGGATCACGTCTGCCCTGATGGATCTACCTCTTCCCTGATGGATTCCTTCACCTGATATCCTTTCCCACGATGAGACTTCCGAGGGATTACTCAGATGGATCCCGTCCTCCCAGATGGATCCTCTCCGATGGATCCTCTCCTCCTCTCCCTGATGGATCCTCTCCTCCTCTACCTGATGGATCCTCTCCCTGATGGATCCTCTCCTCCTCTACCTGATGATCCTCTCCCTGATGGATCCTCTCCTCCTCTCCCTGATGGATCCTCTCCCTGATGGATCCTCTCCTCCTCTACCTGATGGATCCTCTCCTCCTCTCCCTGATGGATCCTCTCCTCCTCTACCTGATGGATCCTCTCCCTGATGGATCCTCTCCTCCTCTACCTGATGGATCCTCTCCCTGATGGATCCTCTCCTCCTCTACCTGATGGATCCTCTACCTGATGGATCCTCTCCTCCTCTACCTGATGGATCCTCTACCTGATGGATCCTCTCCTCCTCTACCTGTTGATCCTCTACCTGATGGATCCTCTCCTCCTCTACCTGATTGATCCTCTCCCTGATGGATCCTCTCCTCCTCTACCTGATTGATCCTCTACCTGATGGATCCTCTCCTCCTCTACCTGAAGGATCCTCTACCTGATGGATCTCTCCTCCTCTACCTGATGGATCCTCTACCTGATGGATCTGTTCCTCCTCTACCTGATGGATCCTCTCTTTCCTCCTCTACTTGAAGGATCCTCTACCTGATGGATCCTCTCCTCCTCTACCTGATGGAGCCTCTCCTCCTCTACCTGATGGATCCTCTCCTCCTCTACCTGATGGATCCTCTACCTCGATGGAGTTCTCCTCCTCTACCTGAAGGATCCTCTCCTCTACCTGATGGATCCTCTACATGATGGATCCGCTCCTCCTCTACCTGAAGGATCTGTTCCTCCTCAACCTGATGGATCCTATCCTCCTCTAACCTGATGGAGTTCTCCTCCTCTACCTGAAGGATCCTCTCCTCTACCTGATGGATCCTCAACATGATGGATCCTCTCTTCCTCTACCTGAAGGATCCTCTCCTCCTCTACCTGAAGGATCCTCTCCTCCTCTACCTGAAGGATCCTCTCCTCCTCTACCTGAAGGATCCTCTCCTCCTCTACCTGTATCAGTCTGTGAAAGAACTGGATGGGTGAAAGTGAAGCCTGGAGAGAGACAAGGGGGAGGATAGAAAAAGTGGGAGAGGAAGCTACTGTAAACGTGTTGAGAAGCATCCCTGGTAGCACAGAGTTCAGTCCAAACTCCCACAGTCTCTATCCTCACCTCATATCAACATCCAGTATATAGAGTTATGAGGAGTTGAAGTGGCCAGTCATGAAACAGTGGAGTTCATAGACTAATAGGAGGTGATCGAGGCATCAGTAAACAGTGTCAGGTAGTAGACAGCGTGAGGTTGATAGACATGCGAGTGAAGCAGTGTCCAGTCTAGACTATGGGTCAGTAGGAGATCAATAACGTGTCCAGTTATAAGACTCATGAGGAACGTAGGAGGCAGTCAGTAGACAACGATGTCATACATAGAGCAATGAGACAGTGTCAGGAGGCAGTCTAATGAACAGGTGAGTACTAGCACTAAAGGAGGTTGATACATGAAGCAGTCAGTGAAACAGTGTCCAGTACATAAGACTAATGAGGAGGTTGATAGGAGGCAGTCAGTGAAACAGGGTCCAGTACATAAGACTAATGAGGAGGTTGATAGGAGGCAGTCAGTGAAACAGTGTCCAGTACATAAGACTAAAGAGATTGATAGGAGGCAGTCAGTGAAACAGGTCCGTACTAAGACTATGAGGGTTGATAGGAGGCAGTCATGAAACGGTCGCAGTACATAGACTAATGAGGAGTTGATAGGAGGCTCTTGAACGTGTCCGTAAAGACTATGGGGGGTTGATTGGAGGCTTGTCTAGTCAACAGTGTCCAGACTAGACTTAGAGGACATGAGGCAGCAGTGGAACATGTGTCTACAAGACTTATGGAGGTTGATAGGGCAGTCCTGAACATGTCCAGTACATAAGACTAATGAGGGGGTTGAACGACCATAGTTGGCAAAACCAAGTGCCAGCAGACTGACAAGTTGATAGGTGACATCAGTTTGAAACGTGTCCTGTAAAGTATAAAGAGGGATCTAGAGTCAGTAATGTAAACAGTGTCCAATACTAAGACTATATGGTTTGCATATGAGCAGTCAGTGAAACAGTGTCCAGTACATGACTGAGGGGGTTGTTGAGGAAAGGGGAAGGCGTTAAACCGGTTCAGCCTATTAATACTAATGAGGATGTGTGTTAAGGAAGGAAACCGTGAACTAGTGTCCAGTACATACACTCATTGGAAGACGTTTAGGACGCAAGCAGTGAAACATTCCACTACAGTACATGATATGAGGGTTGATAGGAGCAAGTATGAAACAGTTCCATCCAGAGACTAGAGGAGTTATAGAAGGCAGTCGAAATCAGTTTTAAAACAGTAATACTAATGAGGAGGTTGTATAGGAGAGTATTCGTAAACAGTCCCAGTTAAGACTAATATAGGGCTTAGAAGCAGTCAGTGAAACAATTTGCCAGTTACAAAAAACAATGAAGGTTATAGGTGATCAGCAAACAGTGTCATGTTTAATAAATAGTGTCTGCTGGGAGATGGTAGGGGGTTAGACTCTGCTGCATAACTAAAAACAACTACAAACAGTACTGTACGCTCACTGAGTAACAGTAACAGCGGTACCAAGCTGTGTTACAGACAGATGCTGTGGACACTAGCGCAGGTTTCTGTTTCCTGGAGAGCTACTGGGTGTGCACTGTGCAGGCTTTTGTTCTATCCCAGCAGTAGCTCACTAAGACCAGAGTTGGAGAACCATACACAAGCTGGTTAGATTGCAGCCTTGTCCTCTGCAGAGTTGATCCGTTTGCGTTGTCTTGCCAACTCCTATGGTCGGTGTCACTGCCAAGCTAACCATGGCAACTACCATAGTTGGCAAGACAACGCAAACAGATCTGGGATCAGGCTAGCGTCACAATTTGTCAGCGTGTATACAATATGCTTTAGTGCCTTGTTGAAATGCATGGGAGAAAGAAGAAACACTGACCACGTATTTGTAATTGAAACTATATTTTAACAATTGTCAATTCTATAATGGTACAATATTGACCAGGAGTCACAGAAGTGGATGAGAGTCATTTGATTGACAGGAAGGAGAAGGCGTTATATTGATCCGGTTCAGCCTATTGGAAGTCTGTACACACAGAGGATGTAGTGGTTCCATGGGGTAAAAGGGGGAAAGCCGTACAGTCCGTCGGTAGACACACTCCCATCTTGTGAAAACATTTCTCAAAACACTGATAGAAATATATACACACTAGTATCCATGTTGATGTATCAGTGGATGTAGTACAATATTCAAATACAGTTCATCATGGCAGGGCTGCATTCTAAAAAGGTAGACGACTTCAGTTTTTAAAACAGACGGACTATATAATATCATCACACCATACCCGCTCCTAAAATATTATATGATATAAAAGTTATATCTGTAGAGAAACATCCACACGTTAAGGTAATGTTGTCATATATACTGGGCCACTTCTAAAGAGAGAGAGACTAACTAAATTCAATAGGCACCAACACAAAGAAAATCTGCAACAAAAAAAAAAAATACAATAAAGAGATCTCATAGGGTTGTATTAAAGACCCATATCATGTGTGTTGTTCATATAAAGTATTCTTTCACATAGTTCCTAGTTTACAGTTCACCCAGCTAGCAGCAACTACCAAGTCCCCCTAAAATATCACCACTGACCATACTAACAAAACAGACCAAAGTAGTAGAAGGAAACACATATCCTACATGAACAACACATTTTAAAAGACATACTTCACACTTTTTGTTCTACAAAAAACTGACAGAATGAAATCTGAAGTGTCATACATGCAAAATCCTCGTTGAACATTGAACTCGTTACAAAATGGGTTGTCTAGCATAGTTTGGGGTTTCTCTGCCCTATAAAGTCCTGGTTTCATCTGTTCACATTTCTAAAGGGGCTCGTCTTCACTGTCTTATGCACATCACAGTCCTGCAGACTGACTGCAGATTCAAAAGGCTAATGTTCACTGAAACCCTTTCAATCCTTTAAACTTCTGTTATTGAATTCATTTAATTTCATCATTATGGCAACAACATCCAGAGGACATGGGCTTGTCTATCTGAAACAGTTGTCCTGTTGTTGTTGTCGTTGTTCTGTTGTTGTCCTGTTGTTGTTGTTCTGTTGTTGTCCTGTTGTTGTTGTTCTGTTGTTGTCCTGTTGTTGTTGTCGTTGTTCTGTTGTTGTTGTCCTGTTGTTGTCGTCGTTGTTCTGTTGTCGTTGTTGTCCTATTGTTGTTGTTTTTGAAACACTACTAGGATTCCTTAAATAATGTTTTTCCATTTTCATAGTAAAATTTAATTAGTGTGTTACTATGGTGATGCATGGTCATCATCCATCTAGTTTTGGCTGGTTCTCCTGAGGCACTTGATGACACCGCCGTGTCATGTATTGGTCGTGTACGTGTCGTGTATGTGCATATTAACTAACGAGTAACAAACTGTCTTCAAACACACCTGAGATCGACATGAAGCAACAATATAATGGACAGTCTTTTAAAAAGTATACATCTTCTATATTTCCCTAATGTCATAAAGAGGCCAGTAGGATAATGTGTGATTATTACTTAACTGTTGCTGTACTGCATTAGTTTCTATAGTTTAAATACATTTAGCCCTTTTTAAACCTTTTCTTCCCTCTTAGTTCAGCCTGAGAAGAAACAAAGACAGAAATTCGCTGTCAGAGACGGAGGGAGCGGAAGGAGATCGAAAGGCGAGGAGAAACAGGAGAGAGAGGAGAGAGAGAGAGAGAGAAGAGCAAAGGAAAGAAAAAAGAGAGAAGGCACGAGAGCACGAGAGAGAGAGAGAGAGTAGGAGGAATCGCCGAGAGAGAATCCTCAGAGCGCATCTCTCTCTAGACTAGCTCTTCTTTCTATCTCTCTAGCCTACTCTCTCTCTCTCTTCTTCTCTCTATCAGCTCTCTCTCTCTCTTCTCTCTCCTCTCTCTCTCTCTCTCTCTCTCTCTCTCTCTCTCTCTCTCTCTCTCTCTGGTTCAGTGTGGTCTCTACTTTGGGGGAGTGGCTCCACAGAGACCTGTCCTGAAGGTATTTATAAACCCTCCATCCCTCTGTCCCCTCCTCCCTCAGTTATCCACCCCTAGTTTGGACAGGCCCTGCCTGAACTCATGCAGCTCATCGATCTTCCCATCCAGGACGTCCATGAACTTCTTCAGCTCTCCCTTCATGTTGCCCTGCTTGGACTGGCTGTCCTCCATGTCAGCCTGAAGACCCTCTATCCTATCCTCCAGGTCCTTGTTCTTCACCTCAGCAGCCTAAAGAGATTGGAAATATGAAGTTAGATACTGCCATAGCTTTATAAGTAATTATAACTTTGACGTCAACTCCTACAGATAAGAGAGGGGGAGGGGGAGAGGGGAGGGAGGGGGGGGGGAGGGGAGGGGAGGGGAGGGGAGGGAGGGGAGGGAGGGGGGATGAGGGGGAGGGAGGAGAAAGGGGGAGGAGGGAGAGAGGGGGAGGGAGGGGGGAGGGAGAGGACTAAAATAGGAGGTCTAAACTAGTTCCTGGTGGCATTTCTCAGCTGACTGTTGAAACCTGATCACCATGTGGGAGACCTGCTTTAAATAGAGGGACCACAGACCAGACCCTCCTGCTACTGTCTGGTATAGAGCTACAGTTCATAGAATGGACATCATCCCTTCAGACCATGGAGCTGGATTCTCCAGGGCTCAGTGGTGTTCTGAGGTATTCTGCCATTACAACCCCTAGTGAATATTGCTTTGAACAGGAATGTCAGTTCTATTGATTCAATGCCTAATAGCTAGCTGAGGGGTTCTCTGGTCCATTGTGTCTAAAGGGAGAGGAGGTATCTGAGTTAGGCCATACTCTATCTAGCCGGGTCGGACCTGAAGCTGAAGTATTTGAGGCATGTCATTGTTGGTTTTATTCCCCTCCATAGTCGATCAGCTTGGCTGATGAAATGCGCTGTGAGGCTGTCAGATGACCGAGGGAGATGAGTCACTACCGATATATACAACATCATTACTGATATAGATTCACTACTCATACAGACCACATCAGAAGCACAAATACACAGCTACTATCCATACAGCATCACTACCGATACACACAGCTTCACATCACATTCAGAAACATGTATTTTAAATTTTTTACATTTTACGTCATTTAGCAGACGCTCTTATCCAGAGCGACTTACAGTTAGTGAATACATTATTATTTTATTTTTTTATACTGGCCCCCCGTGGGAATCGAACCCACAACCCTGGCGTTGCAAACGCCATGCTCTATCAACTGAGCTACATCCCTGCCGGCCATTCCCTCCCCTACCCTGGACGACGCTGGGCCAATTGTGCGCCGCCCATGAGTCTCCCGGTCGTGGCCGGCTGCGACAGAGCCTGGATTCGAACCAGGATCTCTAGTAGCACAGTTAGCACTGCGATGCAGTGCCTTAGACCACTGCGCCACTCAGTGTACTATTACCTTGTCACTACCGATAGGTCTACAGCTCACATCAGAACCACAAATATATGCTATCCATACAGCGTCGCCGCCGATACAGCTTTACCCTATTATACTCAGGTTTGCGGCAGCAGTCTAAACAGAAAAGAGTCTGGTTAGATATATTATATACAGTGCCTTCAGAAAGTATTCATACCCCTTGACTTTTTCCACATTTTGTTACATTACAGCCTTATTCTAAAATGGATTAAATTGTTTTTTTCCCCCTCATCATTTTTTTGTGTGCTAATTTATAAAAAATAAAAATATCACATTTACATAAATATTCAGACCCTTTTCTCAGTACTTTGTTGAAGCACCTTTGTTCAAGTCAGACTCAAGTCTTCTTGGGTATGACGCTACAAGCTTGGCACACCTGTATTTGGGGAGTTTCTCCCATTCTTCTTTGCAGACCCTCTCAAGCTCTGTCAGGTTGGATGGGGAGCGTTGCTGCACAGCTATTTTCAGGTCTCTCCAGAGATGTTCGATCAGATTCAAGTCCAGGCTCTGGCTGGGCCACTCAAGGACATTCAGAGACTTGTCCCAAAGCCACTCCTGCATTGTGTTGGCTGTGTGCTTAGGGTCGTTGTCCTGTTGGAAGGTGAACCTTTGCCCCAGTCTGAGGTCCTGAGCGCTCTGGAGCAGGTTTTCATCAAGGATCTCTCTGTACTTTGCTCCATTCATCTTTGCCTCGATCCTGACTAGTCTCGCAGTCCCTGCCGCTGAAAAACATCCCTACAGCATGATGCTGCCACCACCATGCTTCACCGTAGGGATGGTGCCAGGTTTCCTCCAGACGTGACCCTTGGCATTCAGGCCAAAGACTTCAATCTTGGTTTCATCAGACCAGATAATCTTGTTTCTCATGGTCTGAGAGTCTTTAGGTGCCTTTTGGCAAACTCCAAGTGGGCTGGCATGTGCCTTTTACTGAGGAGTGGCTTCCGTCTGGCCACTCTACCATAAAGGCCTAATTGGTGGAGTGCTGCAGAGATGGTTGTCCTTCTGAAAGGTTCTCCCATCTCCACAGAGGAACTCTAGAGCTCTGTCAGGGTGACCATCGGGTTTCTTGGTCACCTCCCTGACCAAGGCCCTTCTCCCCTGATTGCTCAGTTTGGCCGGGCGGCCAGCTCTAGGAAGAGTCTTGGTGGTTCCAAACTTCTTCCATTTAAGAATGATGGAGGCCACTGTGTTCCCTCGGGACCTTCAATGCTGCAGAAATGTTTTGGTACCCTTCCTGTGCCTCGACACAATCCTGTCTCAGAGCTCTACGGACAATTCCTTTGACCTCATGGCTTGGTTTTTGCTCTGACATGCACTGTCAACTGTAGGACCTTATATAGACAGGAGTGTGCCTTTCCAAATCATTTCCAATCAATTTAATTTACCACAGGTGGACTCCAATCAAGTTGTAGAAACATCTCAAGGATGATCAATGGAAACAGGATGCACCTGAGCTCAATTTCGAATCTCATAGCAAAGGGTCAGATTTTTTAAATGTTTATACAAATTAAAAAAAAACTGTTTCACTTTGTCATTATGGGGTATTGTGTGTAGATTGCTGAGGATTTTTATTTATTTAATCAATTTTAGAATAAGGCTGTAACATAACAAAATGTGGAAAAGGTCAAGGGGTCTGAGTAATTTCCAATGGCACTGTATATTGCTGAAAGGATTCCTCTGTCTACATAGCAGCTAATCATGTTTGTTCTACACCAGGGGGGTCAATCAAGCCCGCGTTGGGTCCAATCCTATTATTATTATTATTATTATTATTATTATAATAATACATTATATTTTTTTACCCCCCCCCCCCCCCTTTTCTCCCCAATTTCGAGCTTGTCTCATCGCTGCAAGTCCCCAAGGTCGAGTCATGCATCCTCCAAAACATGACCCGCCAAACCGCTCTTCTTAACACCCGCCCGCTTAACCCGGAATCCAGCCGCACCAATGTGTCGGAGGAAACACCGTTCACCTGACGACCGAGGTCAGCCGGCAGGCGCCCGGCCCGCCACAAGGAGCCGCTAGAGCGCAATGAGCCAAGTAAAGCCACCCGGGCCAAACCCTCCCCTAACCCGGACGACGCTGGGCCAAACCCTCCCCTAACCCGGACGACGCTGGGCCAAACCCTCCCCTAACCCGGACGACGCTGGGCCAAACCCTCCCCTAACCCGGACGACGCTGGGCCAAACCCTCCCCTAACCCGGACGACGCTGGGCCAAACCCTCCCCTAACCCGGACGACGCTGGGCCAATTGTGCGCCGCCCTACGGGACTCCCGATCATAGCCGGCTGTGATACAGCCCGGGATCAAACCCGGGTCTGTAGTGACGCCTCTAGCACTGCGATGCAGTGCCTTAGACCTCTGCGCCACTCGGGAGGCCAAAACCTTTTTTTATAGGTTTTTGGGTGGGGGGGGGTCAAATGAACTCAATATACTTTAAAATGACTAAAACCAAATGGAAACTGTGTGGAAATCATAATGGAGCTACATTAATACCGTTTGTTGACTGTGTAAAGCTCGTTAATAATCACCGAAATGAAAGCTAGACAGTCAGGGAGCATCGGAAATTCCCAAAACGATGGACAGAGGACTATTTTTTGCAGATTGAATTTGACACCTTGTCACGCCCTGGCCTTGAGAGGCCGGTTGTCTTTAGTTGGTTTGGTCAGGGCGTGAGGATCTATGTTAGAATTTCAATGTTTAGGATCTAGATGTGTATTTCTAGGTTTGGCCGGTTGTGATTCCCAATCAGAGCCAGCTGTCGCTCGTTGTCTCTGATTGGGGATCATACTTAAGTAGCCTGTTTGCCTACCTTAGTTGTGGGATCTTGTTCCGTGTTTTAGGCTTGTATGTGTTTAGCCTGAGGACTTCGCGTTACGTTGTTTCTTGTTTTGTTTATTGAGTTAATAAACATGTACGCTTTTCACGCTGCACCTTGGTCTGACCCGTCTCTCAACGATCGTGACACACCTCTGTTCTATAGAGTATACGTCTCTACCTGAATGTGTATGGCCCTCAAATTCTAAATCTGGCCCTCAAATTCTAAATCTGGCCCCCCAAGCCAGTTCCATTGCTTTTTAATTTTTCATTGTTCCCCTCTAAATCAGGGACTGATTTAGACCTGGGACACCAGGTGGGTGCAATTAATTATCAGGTAGAACAGAAGTCCCGAAGTAGTCTGGACCTCGTAGGGTAATATTTGAATCCCCCTGTTCTACACAATATAGTGTATTACTATCTGAACGTGCCATAACGGTTTCCCCTGGTTGACAGATCCGTCTCTACCTGAGACCAGCTACCATACCGCAGAGACCAACATGCAGCCATAACGCTTTCCCCTGGTTGACAGATCCGTCTCTACCTGAGACCAGCTACCATACCGCAGAGACCAACATGCAGCCATAACGCTTTCCCCTGGTTGACAGATCCGTCTCTATTTGAGACCAGCTACCATACCGCAGAGACCAACATGCAGCCATAACGCTTTCCCCTGGTTGACAGATCCGTCTCTACTTGAGACCAGCTACCATACCGCAGAGACCAACATGCAGCCATAACGCTTTCCCCTGGTTGACAGATCTGTCTCTACTTGAGACCAGCTACCATACCGCAGAGACCAACATGCATATCAAGAGTATCTGTCCTCTCTCAGTAGCACAAGTTTGAGTTCACTTAAGGCGATGGTGTTGGGTTACATGAACCTTTGCTAGAGGCAAGTCTGTTTGATGGCTTTCATGGGTTCTTCAGTCTGAAATTCACTAAATATTCCGTCCCTTCAATCTTGCATGATATCTAAAATGATATTGTATTATGGACACTTACATGTAAAACAGTACTTATGCACTCAGTGATGAAGAATTAGCAATTGAACATCAGTGGTCATAACAAGAACTGGCACTGCCTTGTCCTCTCATGTTACGCTACCTGCATGCTGAGCACGGGTGGAACCTGGCTAACCTCTGTTCAACGCTGATGCTGGCAACCAATGACAAGATACTGGTTGGAGCAGAACCCTAACACTCGGTTCTGGCAGTGAGCTACCCTGACGGAGCAGAACCCTTACACTTGGTTCTGGCAGTGAGCTACCCTGAAGGAGCAGAACCCTAACACTCGGTTCTGGCAGTGAGCTACCCTGACGGAGCAGAACCCTTACACTTGGTTCTGGCAGTGAGCTACCCTGAAGGAGCAGAACCCTAACACTCGGTTCTGGCAGTGAGCTACCCTGACGGAGCAGAACCCTTACACTTGGTTCTGGCAGTGAGCTACCCTGAAGGAGCAGAACCCTAACACTCGGTTCTGGCAGTGAGCTACCCTGAAGGAGCAGAACCCTTACACTCGGTTCTGGCAGTGAGCTACCCTGAAGGAGCAGAACCCTAACACTCGGTTCTGGCAGTGAGCTACCCTGACGGAGCAGAACCCTAACACTCGGTTCTGGCAG